CCGTGTAATAGCAGTAAGTACTCGGGGGGGGATGTAACTGAAATAAACCTAAAGCAACGGTGGTTTAAGAGGTCAGAGGAATAGAAGCGACGGGATAGAAAAAGGTACGAAGGGATGGGGGCGGAGGGGGGGTCCATTTCTTCATGATCTCTCGCGTATCGGCATATCCTCGCAACGACGTCTCGCAGATAAAGCAAGGTAGACTACTTCTTGTGGGAACTACTTCTTGCGGTGTTTCTGCCCGGCGATTCGTTCTTATTGCATTCGGGAACTCGTCGTTCGGCATTCCGCCGCGATCGGAATTTCTATTTCATAATAACAGCCGTGTACACACGACGGGGCCCATCGTGCGCGCACTCCGGGGAGAGGCCAGCTATCAAGAGAGACCATTCCTCTCCTCCTCCTCCTCCTCCTCCTTCTCCTCCTTCTCCTCCTCCGCCTCCTCCGCCTCCTGCTCTTCTTCTTTTTCTGCTTTGCGCACCTCTCTAGCTGGATGTATAGACAAGTACCCACTTCAGACTGGTTTCGACTCGACTGGGACGGACTCGAGCCCACTCGAGTGCGTGTATAGGTGCGTGTTATGCGGGCCGTACCACCCGGCGTAAAACCGCGCGCACATCGCGGTGGTCGTCGGCCGTCCCGTCCCGTTTCCAACCAGATGCGTGCCGACTTTTATCTCTTTGACCCACTATTTTCAGGGCGGCCGTAATTGAGCGGAGTCGCGCGCCGACGAGCCGCCGCTCGTCGAATTCATTAGCGGGATCCACGTCTTAATTTGTCGACGCGACGAAACGCGCGGACGGACCCGCGTAGCTCGGATTTCGCGAATCTGGCACGGTCGAAATAATTGCCCTCTTATGGAAAAAAAAAAAAAAGTTGTACACACTGTTCGTTCCAATTTTTTTCACTAATTCGATAGTATTTCTCCACAAAGGTGGAGAAGCGCGACTGACTGAGCAATCACTTTTTAAAATTATAGATATATCGAAGAGTAATTTAACTAAAACTCGAGTAAATTATATAATTCTAAAAAATTGAAATTTAAGATTAATTGATCACCACGCATCATATCATTAATACGCTTCTACGATTATTATTAAGTTTATCATAAATTTATATAATTAATGAAATTGCTTAGTCCTAAATAATTGATATAATTATGTATAATTTATTATACTGGATTTTAAAGTTAATTTTTTAATGTTTTTTAAAAGAAAATAAATTTTTGAGTACATGATGATTAAATGAGTTTTTAACTATTAAGGAGTATATTTTAAGACTGTTATGAAGAAAATATTCTTTGTTAAAGATAATCGTTCAAAGCAAAAAGTAAACTTAACAGTAAAATTTTCTATATGTATCAATTGCTTGGAAAACAAGATTTCTCTATTTCTTATAATTTTTTAAATAACTTTCAAAAATGTACCTCTTTTATATCACGAAATTGGTCTCAAATGAGTAACTTATAAATCACGTACAAATAAAAACAAAATATTATAATACATAAATAATGCATGTGATTGCAAACGTAATGTATTACCAAGCTCCATTATTGTTGTCCCAAGCAAAACAACAAGACACGATGACGTCAAAATGAATCATTACACTGTGATTACTGATTGAAAAGTGGCTTCTGGTCAGTGTTGCCAGTCGTAAGGAATTCTCCCTATCAATGGCGCGCCAAAGGACATCACGTATGCCAGTTGCCGTACCCAAAAATTGAATTTACCAAATTATCAATATGTTCCTATACATTACGAAATTCAGCCAAATCCTTCCTACGCGATTTTTGCTGTCAAATGTCTCTATGGATAGGGAGAGTTCCTTACGACTGGCGACACTGCATCTGGTAATCCTTTTGAAGATATTTTGACGTCATTTTGATGACTTGTGTCCTGCAGCTATCAATTTGGCCAGTTCAGAGGTTTCGAAGTCGACAACCTCACAGCATTCTGAATGTTACACATCCTTGCATATCGGCCATCTCGATTGCGAGACGTCGTCAGGCTCGGCGACGACTTCCTTTTAGCGTATTATTAAATTATAATACCGTTTGCTCTTCGCGAAGTCTACAAAGTCGGCGAAGTATTTTTCCGCTTTCAGCCGCGCGCCGCGAGAGAAATTAGGTGGACGGCCAATAATAGCGCGCGTATATTTTCCCAGTATCCTTGAAGAAACACGCTTTTAGATCTCGCTTCCGGCAAGCTTCTTTTTCCTCCTGCCGCGAGGGATCCCCCGTCGCGCGAGCGCGCGCGCGATTGATCGATTACGTTCCGATCGATGACGAATTTCATGCAACAATTCGACGCCTTATGGATGTCCAAACGACGTCCTGTTCGCCGTTAAGACTAGAGCACAGAACTTTGCACAACGCATAATGCATAAAGCATGAGAAAATCAATCAATCAGAATCTTTTATTTCATAGAAAGAAAAATTGAAGGACTTTGGTTCATTTTCTTATGTATTATGCGTTGTGCAAGCCTCTTATGCTACCGCCCATACATGGACGTACCAAAGGAACACACTAAGTCAAGAGAAAGTAAAATTACTATATTTTACGTCATGCAAGTAAAAATAATGATTTTTTTATTACAACATTTTTGACTGTTTATTGACGTTAAGGATCAGAATATTCTCAAACAGGACAACAAGTCACGATGACATTAAAATGAATCGGAAATGATTGAAAATGACTTTTAATAAATCGTTTTGGAGTCATTCTGATTTTTCATGGATTTTTGTGTGTTCCTTGAAAATATGTCTTTATCAGTAGACATCGTACGTACAATGTACCACCCAATCCATTCAATACACATCGTTAATACTATTATATATTGTACATGAAGAACACACCAAATCAAGACAGTCAAATCAAAATGACCTTATTTGTCTAATAAACGTCTCAAGTACATCTCAAGCCCAAAGAACACGTCAAATCAAGGCAAAATCAAAATGACTTTACTTTAGCGTCGCGTAAGTAAAAGAAAAAAAAATAATTTTGTATTACAAAATATTTGACTATTTATTAACGTTAAGGATAAAAAGAAAGTCA